ATATATATATATATATATATATATATATATATATATATATATATATATATATATATATATATATATATTGTGTTTTTTATTAATATTGTTAATTTATTTGGTACCTACTATAATTACCACGATTATTACTCCGTTTTCATAAGGCCCACCTAATGACTACAACGATTAGGTAAATTACGATATTGCAAAGTTTTAATGAAATAAATAAAAAATGTGTATGAATATTTTTACTAATTGTACTAAGGATTTTTTTTGCATTCTTAACCCTCTCAAAAATTAATAAGCACGCCCCCGATTTGCTGTCAACTGGGCTTACTTCTACTCTCAATCATTATTGGTTTTAGTATAGATGGAGTGACATTTTGTTGTTCGCTCTAACTTAGGAAGAGGAATGAATACAAAGCAACGATTGAGGAGATAAAAACCGAATTGCTGAGAGAAATCAAGTGCATATCAGAACTGCTTTGAGTCCGTTTATCTTTATGTCTGGGGAGGACTACTTTGAAGGTTACAAAATAGAAATTGATGATTTAATAAATGTTTTCTGAGAAAAATGTAAATTCACCTTATTTTTTGAACAGACAGCGTAGATGCATATCAGGCTTTTTCTATTACTGAATCGAATATGTAAAATTGTTGAAATAATCTTTTTTTCAACATCTATCAATAATAAAAATTACCTGTTTTCAGATTGAAAAAAAGATATCCACCATAATATCTTTTCCAGAAATGCTTGATATGACGCCGTTCATGAGTAAAAATGAGAATGAATCACCATTTCCGATGGATAATAGATATTCTCTATTTGCTGTTATCAATCATTTGGGAACGTCCATCAATGTGGGACATTATACGGCATATATTCGACATCAGCGTGATTATTGGTATAAATGCGATGATCATGTTATCACTAGAGCTAACTTGAAAGAAGTTCTCGATTCAGAAGGGTGAGAATATTGAAAATAACATTGATATCCATTTTGAATTCAATAATCCGTTTTCAGGTACCTTCTTTTCTATCACAAACATGTCCTGGCGTATGAATAATTATACAGAAGATTCAAATCAATCGGAGTTGTATACACTCGAGTATCTAATACTTTATGGTTCTTTATTTCATCGTCCTGTAGTGGACATACATTATTTTCTATCTTTATAGGTCTTCTACATGAGGTTTACAGTATTACCAAAGGAACTGTTTGAGTTAGAGGAAGTGATTTCACCAGATATTTTACGTTTTTCAATGACTATTTGCGACGTATATACTTTTTGTTTATTATGTTAAATAAAGGGATTTAAGACCTTAATGTCGCATCTTCCAGAAACTTCGTCTTCTTGCGGGGGAAATATACATACATATAAAATTATCGTCTTCATAAAACATTATTTGTTGCAATCCTACTCCCACGTGGACATCCGGCCTCCAACCGGCGTGAATAAGAGCACTATTTATTTAAAAACACAAATTTTATTAACACTATTTTTAATTGATGCTTGCACGTTATAAAACGGCGCGGCGGACATTCACAACATGAACTGAGTTCCATCTCCAACAATGGCATCCGTGTACCTTCTTTGTAGACGGTCGCTATCGACACGTCCGTCCACCAGCATGTCAGAAATGAAACTGAAATATTAATCTGTTAGGTGGTTTCAAAAATAACGTTCGTTTTTATGTTTTCAATTTAAATAAACGCCATTCGAAACAGTGCACTTTTACTATTGTAACACAAGTCGATAAATTCCGTTGTTCGGGATTCGATGAAGTCAACGTTTCTGCCTGGTACTGGCGAAGGTTTTACCGGTGAGAAAGTTATTGAAGTGTTTGAAAGATGGTACTCGGTTGGCGAGAGGTCTGGGGAGTATGGTGGGTAAGGCGAAACTTCGACGCTCAATTCGTTTAACGGTGACTTGTGAAACATGCGGGCGGGCGTTGTGGTAAAGCAAGATCGGACCTCTTCTGTTGGCTGCTGCTGAGTCAATTTTCGGTAAATTTCGTCGATTTCTTCATAATAGAACTCTGCTGTGATGGTTTGGCCCGGTTGCAGAAAGTTATAGTGAATCACACTAACCGCTGACCAACATACAGTAATCATGGTTTTTTTTGGTGGGTTTTCACTTCTGGGAAGTGCCTGGGTTGCTCATCGGTGTGCTATACGTCTTCTGTTGAGAGAATGTGTTTATTATCCAAGATACAGGACCTTATTGACAAACACTGGTAAAAAGAGAACATGTAAATAACTACATCCAAATAAATATACAATTACATAATTACATGAAAATAATACATAAAAATAATCACATCTACGTAAAAGTACATATAAGCACAGTCAATTTCATATCATTTCGTCATTAAAATATTCTGTCAGATTTTGTAATAGGCTTTAGATGCCAGTCTTTCATGTAACTTTTTTCTAAAATTTTAAAGAAAATCCATGTTCTTTATATCTTCAGGAAGTTTCTTACACATTTTGACACCGACGTAAATTATTGAGTCTTTGATCAGTGTGGATTAACGGATGATTAATGATGTTGTCGACACGTAACAATCCGATCCAAAAAAGGATAGTTTTAGTTGCGCAAATGCAAAAATACAGACTTTGAAACGCTCTTCAAATCATCGGGCATCCACTTTTCGAGCTCCTTGACTTTTCCAATACGTTTCAAACCGCCTGGGAGCTAACGTCCAGTTCTTCCGCAATTCCAAAAATGGGTGGCAGCATTGCTTCTTGTAAGACCGCTGCGCCCTCCGACGAAGCTCCTGTCAACCTTGATAGAAGGAATCTGGCCTAATGCGCCCGAGTGGGAAGCAACGGCCATCCAAAATAGGGAGAGATTATATTTTTCTCACCACCAGGGTCCTCAAATCCTAGTCCTGGATAATTGTAGGTCGACTACTCCGGGGCTCATCTTCGAGACTAAAATCTCCGAAACGAAATTTCGCAAACCAACGTCGAACTGTGCGTTCATTAACACTGTCATTGCCTTATGCTGGGTAACTTTTTGGGCTGTTTCGGCAGCGCTTTGCTTCAATTTGAATTCGTGAAACTTGGCCAAAAATGGTTTAACGACACCATAAGCTGAAAAGAGGAAAAAAAAATTAAAATTTGAAAAAAGTGGACAGCATCAATGTGTAGAGTGCAAAATTCTTTATCAATTCCACAACACAGTACAATTAATATTCATTTAGATACGGAGCTACAAAAATACATGACAATAAAACGGAAAAACTTTGAAACACCTTATAATTAGAGAGATGTGACGAAGATTGGAAGGATCGTTCAAATCACCACCTTGAGGTATAGGAATGACGGTGGAAATCTTCAAAAAGTGGGAAATTACGCAGTTGTGACTGAAATGTTAACAAGGGCAACTATTGTCTCTAAAGTATTGACTTGTAGATTCAAGAGAATCTTGACGAAAATTCAGTCATAACCTGCTGTATTTTTATTTCCAAGGTTATGTAAAGTTTCGACCAGTTCATGATCATTGGTATTACTTCATTATCAATTTTTATATTCCTCAAGTGGAGTGTAGACCATATGTGAGATGGATTGTACTGCTTATCTCTTGAGCAATAGTGCAATATAATTCATTGATTGTGTCAAGAGTGCATGGAAAATTATAACTTCGAGGGGGTACAGCCCCTACCATTCTGTAAATTTTCATGGCCTCGAACGTAAACATACGAATATTTTATTAACCTATGAAATGTCACACAAAAAAAGGTTAATTTTTGTTTGCACTCATATTGAAACATACTAAAACAACACTGAACCGTTTTCAATTCGAAAACCGAATGTTAAAAGCCTTTTCAAAAGAAATGAACTCTACGAATACTGAATCATCACTGATACGCTTCGATTTATCTAACCATAAGCTTACCATACTTCAGTCGTCACTTGGCGATTTGATTGCTTATTCCCTTGGGTAAAATATCTCCATGGGTGAAATATATTCCATGAATGATGGTTTACAATAACCACGTAAGTTAGCACTGTTCAGAATTGTTGAAGCCTTTTTATGAAGCCTAGATGACTGTGAAAACGAGTGGTAAAAAGTCTGAACAACAGGAATTTTTTGTTGCGGTACAAGTAATTGCACAACTGTTCTATAGTGCACTCCATTTTAATTTATTGTCTAAAAAAAAATAGTTGATACAGTTTTTTTGTATGATTTTCACTATAAAAGGTTTTACAAAAACCGCGACACGTGTTTCGCTATACAATAGCTTCCTCAAGCGAAAACTATTTTACGCTTGTAGAAGCTATTGTGTTCGTGAGGAAGCTATTGTGTTTCGCTGTACAATTACCTCTCCTAGCGTAAACTGGTTTACCCTTGAGGAAGCTATTAAATAGTGAAACAAATGTCGTGGTTTTTGTAAAACCCTTTATAGTGAAAATCACACAATAAACTGTATTAATTAGTTTTAATATGGATTTTCATCAAGTGTCGGCCAGTTCTATTCAATTATTGTCCGGAGTTGTACCCAACATATTTTCAGACTTGTCATTCGTGATATTACTAGTTGGGAAGAGAATAGTTCATTTTTTCCTGGTTTAGTACTTTTTGAAACCTTTAGTGTAGTAATCAAGGAATATTAGCCTTCCTCTGAAAGATGATCACTTGGTGATCGAAACACGTGTCGAGGTGTTAAAATAACGATTTGGTGTTTGGAAAAAACTCCAGTAACATTCATTACTACACCAAAGGTTCCAAACAGTGCAAAGACTTGCACTGTGCAAAGACTTGCTTGTTTCGAAACAAATGATTGTGTTGGAGATAAACCTCCAGTAATATTCAAGATAGTTGATTGTGAACTGTATTTGAAGTTGAATTTAGCGAGCCTGTTAAAGTTGGCGTAGGGTTCTAAAATTTATTGTCGGTGTTTTTGAAACTTTTTTGAATACGCCCTCTTTAGAGACGCTCAATTCATTTTATTTTTTTTTGTTCATTAACTTCAGACAGTAATAAAAAACAACATAATTCCTTAACAGTGACAGTGGTAAAATAAAGCAAGATCAATAGCGTTTATAGTTTGGGAGAAGAAATATAGGTAAAACACTTGAAGCTGTAAATGTTTGAGAGCTGTGCGGAAGATGAGATGTATGTATGTATTTTATTAGTATTGTTTCTTAATCACGTGGAACTTTTGCAGATTTCTCAACATATTCCAATTCTACAAAATTCTTTCGAAGTGATTTTAATAACAATTCAAATTACACCAGAGTACATTACAGTATAACCTTTTTCATACGTCCACCTTTCGGATTGAATATAATTGATGGTTTTCTTGATAACAGGGATAGCATTTTCATAATTCCAAAATACAAATCTTGAAATTAAAAAACAACAAAAATTAATTGGCGTTCCAGCGCGACTTCATTGATTCCAGTGGCGCATTTGCTTTTTCAGCTGCAGAAAAACCCGGAGAAACCTGCAGCACCACATCATCTGAGGATCTTGATCAGCTAATATCCTCTCTCGTATAAAACAAGATGTAGGGTGTCTCCAGAGGCTCCACTGAATTCAATGCATCGCCAGAACACTCAAGTGACACAATTATCGTCAAACTTAAGCCAGTCCGTTAAGTCTTTGAGCAAGGCGTAATAATTACCAGATTCAACGCCAAAACCACAGTGAATAATGACTGATAAAATTATCAAGAACTTTCCTCTCATTTATTCCAAGGTCAGGCGAAGTCAGATATATCCATTTCTACGATTTCAAAAAGTTCTCTCTCTCTATGATAATGGCTTTTGCTACCGTTGAGGTGCATTAAGCCAATTTCAAAAAGTTGATCCAGTCCGTATATTCCTTCATTGATATTGGCCGCCCTGCCCTAGCACATCAAATTCTCAAACTCAATAAATAGAAGAAGAAAAGGAAAGTTGACGTGTTGCGTTGTTGCTTTTGACGTTTGCCTTACTAATCAATGTCAAGGCTGTCAAATGGTAGAAATAACATGTATGATGTATATGTATGTTGATGTTGAATTTTGAATTGATAAGTTGAACTTTATGGACAATAATGGATTCTGTTATGGAAAAGAGCGTACGTAGAGTGAACTTTCTGTTTTTTTGGAATATAATGCAAAGTTATCCTTGCTATTTTATTCAGTTATTTGCGAATTTGTTAACATTTAGCGAATTATTGGTTTTCTTTGAGTTATGTTTACATACAGAATATTAGTTGCATTGGCCAACATTATGTTTCTGGTGTTAATATTTGTCGCCTTTTTGTAATGATACAATATACCTAGGAAACATATTAATATTATTCTATACAAATAAAAAAAGGAGTTTACCTCAATTCGTAAAATGTC